TACAGTTTTACTCACCGTCACAACGGCTAACCAGGAGTAAATTGTTTCAGTGTATTACCAAGGAAGGCCACTGTTAGCTTCGGCTAACTTCCAAACGGATTCCACAACTGTTGAGACTATAATTTGAGACTAAAATTTTACCACCTCCGTGGTTACTACCGGCACACACATGTCCGGCTGCCTACCTGCAGTACACTGAAAACAAAACCCTCACTAGCATCACATAACCGTACCAAGACCAATTTGCATATTAGTAGATCCATCTGCACCAAGTAAGTTTACAATAACAAATATGGAACGCCAAAGATGCCTTTAGTGACACCAAAATTGCTGGTTTTCATGACAATAGTCGTTGTTTTTTATTTATTCACATCATCTGCAATTTACTTGTTAAGTTCATCATCGACGATTCACTTAATTCATCATCGACGATTCGCTTGTTTTATCATCGACGATTCAATTGTTTTATCATCGACGACTTACTAGTTTCATCAAAACCATTCACTTTGTTCATCATCGACTATCCACTTTTTTTTATCACCACGATTTACTTTGTTCATCGTCGACGTTTCTCTTTTTTAATCATCGACGATTCACATGTTTCATCATAGACTATTCACTTTTTTATCATCGACGATTCCTTTTTTTTTTATTATAGACAATTCACTTTATTTTTATCATCGCCGATTCAATTTTCTTCATCACTGACAGTTCACGATTAACTGTTTATCATCGACGATTCACTTTTTCATCATCGACAATTCACAATTCATCATCGACGATTTATTTTTTTTTCATCATCATCATTTACTGTTTATCATCGAGTTGTTGCTTGAAAGGCGTTCCATAATCACAACATAGTACGTTGATGGTAAATGTATTAGTTACATTAGTCAAGAGACTGTCGGCTACTTGCACTTTTTCATATGAATTGTTAATAAATATAATCTACTAAACACATTTGGCTAAACAATGAGTACTATATAATTTGAAACTACTGTCAGCTCTCAATTTGGAAGATTATTGATAAAAAGAGGACAGAGAGCTCTAAACCGACAAGGTAGGCAGGTATTTATGGTACCATACTACTACTGCTACTACTTACCACTACTACCTCTACCACCTCTACCATCACTACCACCATTACCACTACTACTACTACCACCACCACCACCACCACCATCACAACAACAACTACTACTACTACTACAAATGCTACTACTACTACTATTATTATGATTTTTATTTTATTGTTATTATTTTATTACTATTATCTTTAATAACACAATTATGAAAAATTTAATTCTGGAAAGTCATTATTAACTGTATTCTTATTCACTGTTATTTCTGCAGCAATACTACTGATTTCTTCGGCAGAATGTCAAGTGTCAATACCGGATCACACAAACACGTTCCGATAGAAAATACTGACAACTCAATTAACTATAATGAATATTGGGCTGATCACATAGAACCGTTATTGTATACGGATTTGGACAAAGTTATCATCCCCATCATTATGCCTATCGTGGTCACCATCGGTATCATTGGTAACGTATTGACAATTATCGTGATTGCAAGTAAAAACTGCATGCACACACCTGTTAACATGTACTTTGCAAATTTAGCAATAGCTGATACGTTGTTCCTAATAAATGCATCTGGTTATAGATGGAACTCTTATATTAAAAGTCCGGTAATTGATACATATGACATTGGTGAAACACCGAAATGGTTTTGTCCACTAAACGGCTTCCTCGAGAATGCAGGGGTAGACGTGGCACTCTTAACAATGTTCTGGCTGTCCGTTGAACGCTATATGGCAATCTGCAGACCTTTTAAGTTCAAACAAAGTGGATTCGGGATTTGTTCCATGTCTATAAAGATCTGTGGCATCATCTGGTTTTTAGGTTTGTCTTGGAATGTATATTTTCTGGTTGGGGAACATACATTCACGTACGAAATAAGTTGGCCTATCATTGCTGTCGATACTTTGCCAAATACTTTTACAATCTGTGTTCTTAGATGGTACGAATTCCATGTAATTTATTGGTACGTAACTCGAGCACTCAATGTGTTGATGATTGTGATCATTGTAGCTCTTTACACGGCGATGCTGATTTCTCTGCGGAAGTCGCGAGGTATAGCAATTAGTTCGGCCGGAAGGGAACCAACATCGAAATCAGAATGTAAAGTTTTTTTGACAGTATTTGTAACTGTTACGGTTTATGTTGTTTGCACTGCACCATTTTACATATATGTGGTATTATTTAGGAATGGTATTGCACAATTAAACCATTCACCAATAAATATTTACCGTTTGATGTTTTATATAAATTCATCGGTAAATCCTGTGATATATAATGGAATGAATTATAATTTCAGACGAGCATTTTATGACGTATATTGTAGCAGATGTAGTAGAAAAAAGAACATACATACCAATGTACAAATTTAGACACTTGACACAAAGATTAAAAATAATCTGATATTTACGAATTCGTCATGAATTTCGGCATTTTCAGTTTACTAGACAACTCTCAAAAGAATGGAAATTTAAAATAGAATTTTCACGAATTATAGGTTTTAGTAATAAAATAAATATGTTAGTTTCAAAACTTTGTCCGAGCTTCTCGGCGTCGACCTCTAGACCCAGTCGGAGGTTGGCTTCGTTGTATTACAGTATTTAGCAAAATTCAGCTTTTATTAGAATTTGGCTAATTTAATGACAGCTTCAGGGGTGGATCTAGGATGAATTTTGCGGGGGGGGGGTCCTTTTCCAATATTAGGAATTATTTTGAAAAAAGTAACACTAAGACAGTAGTACACGGCATTCTAATCTAAAGAATTAGATTGTGTTGCTATTGTTATGGCGTAATGAAAAATATATTTGTAAACACGTTTTCTGCGATGACTCTAATGACTGTTGTAGGTGCGATATATTATTATATTTTATTGTGTTGGATAGTATGTTGGCATTAATTGACTATATACTCATAAATAATATTTGCAAATACCGATGTACCGTAGCTATACCAAGATTGTAATTTTATTCTATCATTTAGTAAACACATGTTCAATAATAAAGATTGTAAGCTGCATTGCTTAGACGGAATTAACAACTCTACCATAATTATATTATCTTGTCTTCATTACTGCCTTACTAAACAACGAACGAAACGTTACATGGTGTCAGAACTTATAGAACCCCGGATCATTTTTACCTGTGAAAATACTTGTTCTGTTCATTGACTGTTACTTTCACTGGAATATTAATTGAGACCTCTGTTTCTTTGGATCTGTGGACTCTTATTTTTTGGTGAATATATAAAAAGTCTGTGAGTACGTTCAATTTTCACACATTTACGATGGCCACTAAAAATAAGCCTTCAATGGACTGGGCATCGCCAGATTTACTGCATGAATTTAAAAGGTTTAAACAGCATTGCCAGTTCACGTTTGATGGCCCTTTAGATACTAAGACAGAAATCCAAAAAGTCTACTATTTAATGACATACATAGGAGATAGAGGACGAGAGATTACTGGAATTACTGCCAGTTAAAGGTGATCTAGTATTCAAAGGTGACCGAATCATAATACCTGGCAACATGAGAAATGAAATGCTCAGTAAATTACAAACTGGACATCAAGGAATTGAAAAATGCAAGAGACGAGCCAGACAGGTCATATTCTGGCCAAACATAAACATGGACATTGTAAAGTCATGTCCAACATGCCAGAAACATCAACTCATGCAACCCAAAGAACCAATGACATATCCAGACAACAGTAATCAACCATGGCAAAAAGTTGGAATCGATCTCTTCACTATCGAAAATAACAATTACATTGTTGGTGTAGATTACTACTCGCAATTCATCGAAATTGGTCAACTAAGGAGCTCATCTTCAACAGCCGTGATAAACATACTGAAATCCTGGTTTGCATTGCATGGTACGCCAATGTTTCTTGTGTGGCCCTCAATATGCCAGTGAAGAATTCCAGAAATTCACCAATGACTGGAACATCAACCAAACGACATCAAGTCCATATTTTGCTCAATCTAATGGTCAGGCTGAGAATGCAGTTAAAATTGTTAAAGCGATGATCAAAAAATGCACGGAAACTAAGGAAGAAATTTACATAGCTAGCATTGCAAGTCTATCGTGCTACACCACTTGACATGGGCTTATCCCAGCAGAAATGATGTTTTCTAGAAAAATCAGATCAAACCTTCCGGTTAATAAGTCTGCACTTAAACCAAAGATTATCAACATAAAGAAGGATGAACTGAAGCACAAACAAGTGCGCAACTATAACAAACATTCTAAAACTCTAGAAACTCTTAAATATGGACAGAAAGTTAGAATCTATGATACAATGTCTAAGTTGTGCAACAAAATTGGCATAATACATAAATCACTGCCACATAGATCTTATCTTGTAAAATGTGGAAACGATATGTATAGACGAAATAGAAGGCATATCATTGGCTAATGACGACGATGAATCAGATGATTACACACGTATTACAAATTAAAGAAATGACCGAAATACATATAATAGACCAAACGACACACTCGACGACCAGCATACTTGGATGACTACGTTACTAACTAAACGTCATTTATATACACAACCGTTTACAAACTT